CATTTTTTGTGACTGAAATTTTAGATGACACAAAATGGAACAATACGAGCAAAAGAAGAACATAAGATTAAGAACTGCTTAGCTATTCCCTCATATTCCTCTTTGTTTAACCTTAATTAGCCAATTAACTTCTCATGGGTGTCCTGGGACAAGTAAGACTGGAAGACAGATTTGGAGACTTTAATAAAATCTACACTGGGGGGACCATCCTGATGTGGTCTCCTCAAGGTGTAAGACAGTGTTAGGATCCTTGAGAAGAAAGCAGATAATATTTCAAATCTGAAGTAGATTGCTGAAAAAATTAGAAAAACATCCCACCTCAGAAAATGGTATTTTCCAACACTCCAGCGGTTTCCTAAGATAACTGTGATGTCTTGCATAGTACACAGATTGCTATGCCTTGCTCCTAGAGGTCAGTGACCATTAATTAAAATTTCACTGTACACCCACCTTTTGAAGGATGTCTCCTCGGTTTGCCATCTGGAAGGTTAATAACAGAGAGATTTGCAGGCTGTGCTGCAACACCCAAACCCAAAGATGAATTTCAAACACTTCCAATTGCAGCAGCTGCTCAGATCTGCATTTTGGGATAGTTCACAGAGAAAGGGCCCCTTCTGAAAGTTTGGCTTCAGTGTCAAGTCTTAAACAGGGACCAGTTCCAGTGGTGGAGATGCTAATGTTGACAAGGCTAGTACTGGGCACATAAATAACAACCAAGGGATTCTCTGTGACCAATCTGGGTGGAGGAAGCAACTGAGTCTCCTGATGGACACCCACCTGAGGCCACTTTGACAAGCAAGCAGCTTCAGCCAATATGGGCTTAGAATTCAGGTACAAGTAATAACACAGGCAGGTTACAGCTTCTCTTTTAGCATCAGAGAGAGAAAGATCAACAAAATCTTCTTGGACAATGAACATCTATGGCTTCTTTGTGACCCTTTTTAATGTTTTGGAGGAATTGCTGGTGATACATTCATGACTATGACACTGGAAATACATAACCTCTGGGATGGCGTTTGTAAGCTTGCTTAACCCAAACTCCTTCAATGGTCTCAGCTCTCTCTTTTCCAAAGAACATCCCACTTCATTATATCTTTTAGCATTAAATAATTGGTGCCTGCTTGTGCTTGGCATTTGTAAAGGTCTCAAAACCCACAAATCCAGATCATCAGCCACTGAAGGGTGAAGAGGCTTGATGAAGCTGAGCAGTCCCATGTGCATAGAGTCTTGTTTCCTGGTAACATGTTGCAGCCCATATAATAGAAAAACAGCATCCAGAACTGTAGGCAGCATCCCCAAGAGAGGTAAAACTTGCAGCTAGAGAAAAGGCTGCTATTTGGTACAATATTCTGGCACTGCTTAACAGTTTAATCTAGCTCTGTTTGGGAGGATATCTCTTGATGGAGGATGTCTCACCTTATCAGTGATGGATAGCAGCTGCTGCATAGGGATGGAAGGTCTTTAGGTGATCAGCTGCACTGGGAATAATTTGAAGAGATGAGAGTTAATTAGTCTAGGGTAAACCAAGAAGGGATCTGATTAGCTGGAGTACTAAAAGCCAATTACTTCCAGAAAAAAGCTAAATGGCTTTACAAAGCTAGAAAAGCGTGTATCACATCGGTTTTCCAACACATGAGCTCCTATCACTAAAAAAATGACCTTGTCCTCCCCCAGAAAATTTAGTTCTAAGTGAGGATGTATTTAGAAGGGATTTTGCATTATTTTTTAATAAATAATTTCTGCAGGTGCTTGTAGGATACCCAGCTACTCATGAGCAGGATTTAATGTGGAGAAAAACTCAGGGTCATGAAGCAGGATTAGGGGGTTTTTTTGGAGAACCGCTGTTATTAACAAAGCTATTTTCCTTGCAAAGTTAAGTGGAGGTTGCTCTCAGGCAATCTGGCCACCCTGGAAACAGCATCAGGTCAGCTTCCCATTAGCTGGTCCCCTTTTCTCTGACAACGAGAAACTGTCCTGATACAGCTAGAGAACCTGGTGATTTCCTTCCCATGGGTTGCACATTAAAATATCTAAGAACACTGCTTGTGGTCTTAGCCCATAGCTGAAACATTAAGTACATTTCTGGACATCCAAACTCATTCAATAGCTTGCATTATGCTTCTATAAAAACACAAAGATTCTCAAGGCTGGTAAAGCTAAAAATATGAGCAAGAAGTGGACCATCTGTGGGCTGGTGTGTGGCTGCTAACACTCAATTCCAGCTGGACCTGTCAGCTCCTTTCTTGTAAGCACGTTGTCAATGCAAATTGACAGGAATCCCCTGGATTCAGGCCTCAGAATGTATTCCCTGATGCAACGCTAATTGTTCACAACAGGACAGATATCGCAGGAGAGGATGTTTGACTAATTGCATATCAAATTGCACCCAAGCCAAAAACCAGTCGCAGAAGAGGCAGCGAGTAATTTCAGATGGGGTGAAATGGGATCGTGTGGATGCCTGAACTCAGCCACTTGGGTTCTGCTTAAATTCTCACTGTAAATATTCAGCAGAATTTGCAAGGCCATAAGCTGATGCTCTGCGTGAATGCGAATTGCATCCGTAGTGTGTAGGGAACTGTGTCTTGTATAATTCATAAGCACAGACACACGGGGTCATACCAAAGGTTCGTTTAGCTCAGCATCCTGTCTCTGAGCCTGAACAGTGGAAGATGTGCAGGCAAACTGCTTAAGAAATGGGATGAGCATAGCATGTTCCTTCCCCTGCGGTACCCTCTACCCACTGGCAGTCACTAGTTCAGGGATTTCTGGAGGCTGTTCCTGCTTCCCAGAGCTTAATGGCCCATGAGAGACCTTTCTTCCCTGATTCTGTCTAATTGCTCCTTCAGCCCATTCATACTTGCGATATCCAAAACATCCTGTGGCAAGGAGGTGCACAATTTAATTATGTATTGCGTGCAGATGTTCTTCCTTTCATTTATTGTGATTAATAATTTCATGTGTTGCCTGCTAATTTCTGTGTTATAAGAAAGAGGGAACAATCTTTCCTCACCCGTTTTTGCAATTTTCACTTCCTCCTGTAGATTGCTGTATATTATTTGGAGGAAATTAAACCTCAAACTGACTCATCTCAAATATTAAGGTGATAAGAGATCACATCTATTTGTTAACTTCCAGCCACATCTTTACAGTGGGCATGTTCTGAATTCCAGGTACAAGAAATGATCTCTCTCTAGTGTCGATGCTTTGAATACAAATTACCACATGAACCCGCCCCCAGCATTATTATCCATTGGGCTACTGGGATTTAGAAACTCTTTATATCTTGTCTGGTTACTATGGCCATTCTCAAAGTCTGTTATTTCTATGCTTTGTGCCAGATCTGTAAGTATAATGCTATACTTTGTATTACCTTCAAAGGTATACAGCATTTCAACGAAAATCTCTCCATATTCAGACACAGAGGTTTCAGCAGACGCCTAGATGTGAAGATCAAAAAGGAACCCCAAAACCTTGGATCAAACAGAAAGAGAAAAACAACCCCATCCCCACCTTTCTCCTTGTCTTCACACCTAACATTGTGCAAAATGCTGCTATGAAGGTCTCCCTCTGCAACTGCTCCACCCAGCATTGGCTTCTCCATCTTATTCAAACATACATCTTATTCTCACATATATTCATTCCCATTTTATTCCGTGTACCCATCTCCTAATAATGTACAAGTTGCATCCTCCTGATTGCTTGCCATGGGCAACAGTTATTTTTAATTTCTCAGGGGAAAGCCATATTCTCCAGCTTCGGGCCAGAGGCTCTCTCGTCACTTCTTGTTCTCGAAGCCCCTCATACGAAATGCACAATGGGTACGAAAGGACAGAAAATCAGAACACCTGTATTCTGCATTAACCCAGCACTGGCTTGAGCAGCTGTGCAAGAGCACAAGCCTGGAGTTTTGAGGTCCTTGGCTCTCAGCACCCTCGTAGCTCTGTTTCTATTATATTTTTCCCCCCCTGCCATGTCTGAATTTGACTGTAAGTTCTCACAGGCAGGAAAGGAGTGATAGTTATAGTGCTTGGTTTCTTATTGCCAGTGTCTGGGACAATTAACAAGGAAGTGCACCCTGACAGTGGTTCCCTTCAAGTGGGGAGCACTACCATCCTTGTCAAGGGGAAAGAACCTAATGCAGTTCCCAAGAGCCTAGGCTTTTAAAGCTCCTTTTAAAAATGACTTTTCTGTAAACAGAACATCCCGCGCAAACTGAATGAAGCCTTCCTGTTGGAGCTCTCTGCAATCATTGGGGGGTGCCTCATTTGATGGGAGTATTTATACTGCCCAATGTAGAGTAGTAAGCGACTGTTGGCCAAATTGCCACCCTGGCTCTCCAGAGAAGATCCCTTTGGCTGGTTTGAGTCATCCATATTTCACACAGTCCACCCCACCCCAAAATAGACCCAATGAAGCTCAGCTGAAGTAGGACCTGAGCAAAAGCCCTCTCAAGATGACAGCTACTCCACTCCGTCTTTTTGTAGGTATTTTGTTTGATGAAGCACAAGCCTCATGCATTTGAGAAACAATCTTTGCATGTTTTTTTTTCCAAGCCTTTCCAAGAACGTGACTGCAAACACCAGAGCCAACATTTAACAAGATGTGCGGGCTCTGTCCTCATTAGCCTAAACAAGAGAGGAGGAGCAGCAGATGCGTGCAGAGTGGGCACTGCTGAATGGCACGGAGTTAATTTGAGCTTGGATGAAGGGAGCCTCTGACTGGCAGCCAGCCCTACCTTCTAAAGGGCACTGATGTGAACCAGCACGTGCAAGCCCTCACACACATTGCATTGCACATTGCTGTCATGTCCTTCAGTGGAACCTGATTTTCACCACACCCCAAAAAACCAAAGGGAACTGGAACAGAAATTTTAGCCCAACTTGTTGGTGTAGCCATTTTAAACCTGAATTCACCTCGCATTGGATAGCATATTTCCTTACGATGTATTCTCAACACCCACTATGATAATGTTTATCCAGGGCTTTTTTTTTTTCTTGCAGGATTGCTGCACCATCACCCATGTATTACAGAAAGGGAACAGAGAAATGGAGGAGACTTATTCATGGTCGGAGGAGGCTGATGTAGTGGAAATGGCAGAAGCACAGGAACAACGTGGAAAAGGTAGGTCTGGTCTAAACAAGAGGGACTTGAATGACAGTGATATTGCAAGTGTTTATACCAAGTCTGAAATGAAAATGCAGTGTCAAGACTATTTACATTAGCTCCTTTTTTTAATCTTAATACTGGCAACGATGTGGCTTGAAAATACAATTACTCTGACCTTAAACATTGCGCTGTACTTCAGATGCACTATAGTTGATATTTTCCTTAGGGATTTTAAACTCCTGATTATTATTCATTACACTTTCTCATCTCCTCTTTCTCCTTCTCAATTTAACTGCCCTTTATTTATGACACTACCCACCCCTGAGCAGCCAGAATGTCTCTTCTGAGCAATACTCCCAAAGTAAATTCCACTGAGGTTTAGGAGCACACCTCTCTCTCAATCTAGCCACAACCACCTCTCTTTATTACAAGAAGATCCAAATACAGTCACTATTTTCAAACAAGCTCATGAACCTTGAAAGGTTCCATGTGGTATTTTGTACAAAACCATTAAAATAGATGGTCTCCTCCACCGGCCTGCTGTTTCGCTTCGGGATGGGTTGAAATTGGTCCTGCACACAAGGCTCTGCAACGTGCCACCATTCTCCTCAGCAAATCAGGACTTCCCAAGGAGTACCCAGGGCCAGATGGTCCTGTTGCGGGTAATAGTCCGGTAGGGAGTGGGAATAGAAAGTCCATTTATTGAAAAGAACCAAAGATACAGGCATCAGCCGTGAGGTGCTTTGAACCCCCCTGTGAGGAACTCCATCATGCCACCAGTGACAGTCCGGAGCCAACGGTGGTGTATGTCTTACCCTCAGACCCTTCGTAAGACCACAGAGATTTGAATACAGACTCCAGGTCCAAGCTGCAAGACTGAAACTGTCTCTGCTTGCTTGGGTACATCTATCTCAGACAAGGATAATATGGCAAAAATCCCATACAGAAGAAGATAAAAGCACATGAAAACTATGTGGCCCAGGGAGGAGAAGAGTGAGAAAAGCCCTCCTAATGCTACGGACAAGACCACTGTGTGGAGAGGCTGAGAAAAAAACCCATACATTTTAAACCAGTCCCTTGGCAAATGTACAGTTCTTGTTCAGTCCTACTGCACAGGACACAAAGCATCAGCCTGGACCCTGTACTTCCTCAATGCACTCTCTAAAAGAGCCATTTGGCCAATGTCCCAAACGAAGGTTAGCAGCTAGAGAGAAGTCAGAGCTGAGGGTCACAGCATCTCTGTTTCAGTTCTTTTCCCAGTGCAGAAAGCCTGTGGGATTACATGGGCTAGAAAACAAGTTATAGCAGCTCCTAGCACCACTTCAGTTTCCAATTTGGATCATTCAGGCCTCCTGTGAACTCAAAAATCAATGTGATATAAGTGTTGAGAGTTTGTTGACTTGCGCAACTTCAGGGGCTTTGGTAAAAGCATGTTATCTTGAAAATCTTTCCCCAACCTTGAAGTAAAAGTAGTCTTTATTACAGTGTAGGCTTATCCAACCGTGCAATGCCTCTGTGGATGTGTCTCTTAACTAAGGGAATACACAGAGCTGAAATAAGTGTAAAGTGACCTTGCCTGGAGAAAGTCAGTTTTATTAAAAAGAAACCTGAAAGCACAAGCTTCCTTTTGCCAATACTTCCTTGTCATGGGACAACATGTGTCTCTTTGTTATGTCTGTGTAAGACACAGAGTTTCCATACTTGGTCTGGGCAATAAAGGTAGCAGTTTAATTCTGATGGTAAATAACCATTTTCCCTCCTGTAAAGAGTCTTTGCTCTCATCAGCTGTTATACTGTGCTCTTCACATTAATCATAACCAAATTCCTTCTGGGGAGATGCTGAAACTTATTTCCTTCAACTAGAAACTCAAGTCTATAATTCACCCCTGCTACTATCAACCTTGAATTCAGATCAAACTTTTTGAGAACATCTAATAGCAGTTGCCAATTAAATCATTAGGCTCAGTTATCTTAAACAGATGCAAATTTTACTGGGAAAACTATAAAGTAAACAGCTGTTGAGAGAGGAGATCTGTTATACTACAAGTTATAAAATACTGCTAATGGGGCAGTGTTTCATTTTCCTAGGGTGAAAATATGGCTGTTGAGATGATACAAATGCTGAGGAACTTGGGTGTGATTCCTGCAGCTCCTTCTGAACTATTGAGTCTCTTGAGCTTTGCCACTCTCTCTCTTCAAAGAAAAACATCTAAAGAGGGGCCAACAGTAGTTAACCTTGAGTTTTTCTGAGAGCCCATCAGCAGGAGTGGTTAATGGTCTGAAGGGAGAAAGTCCTTCTTAGCATGGGCCCATAGAATGACCCAAAGGATTGCTGGGATGTAGTATTTCATACACAGTTTGTGATGGCACCTGCTTGCCCCCATTTGTACTTACAAGCATAGTTTCAACACTACCTTAAGACTGGTCTTTTTTCCCCCCCATAATAGCATAGTTCAGCACCTCACACAACATTTAGGGATTGGCTTTTCTTCTTGCCTGCATGCAGGACAAACTCCCTTGGAGAACAGCATATACTGGAGGGAGGAAATCCTGCTCTGGGTTCCCCTGCCCACTGAATCTTGTTCATCAAGATTTCAGGAGGTCAGAGAGGTGCAGATAGCAGTGACACAGAGTGACACTCAGCATCAGCTGGTGTGCGACCACACACAGCTTTATCTGCAAAATTTATATATTGGGGCCTGACAAAGTAATCCAAGGTAAGTGAGGAATCCACCAGAGCTGGTCTTGGGACGCGATGTAATTAATTTAAAATTACTTAGTGAAATTGTGATGATCAGTGTTGTGTTATCTCTCCAGATGACAGGGTTATTAGCTTCAGGCTGCCTGAGGGTATGAAGTAGGAAGGAACTGTAGTTAAATAGCAGGCATGTAGGTGCCACGTGTAACACATTAATAGCCCCTCTCTCTTTTCTCCCTGTCATGCCCCCTGGCCATACCTCCTCGCTCTTTTACTTGTTTGACCTCTGGTGTGTATTAAAAAACTACTGACAACCAAAGGTCAGCGCAGTCACTTACTACTGGTTGTGAACAGTATTAATCAGGATTTAATTTCAGCTGCTGCAGCACGGTGTGAAGTACAAGCGCTTTCTTCAAACGCCTCCTGATTTTCTCTCCCAGCCTCCCAGATTTCATTAAAATTACCCAACTGAATTTTATCTTGCGGTGTTCAGGTCACATACACAAAATGTTTATCAAATAAGAAAAAAAAAAAAAAAGCCCCAAACCAACCCAAAATAAAAACAACCTCAGAAATGAATATGATAAGGACATGAAATGTCAGCCTTGGGGCACTGCAGAGGCATAGAGAGGGATTTAAATCAGCAATAAAAAAGATTCTGTTTATTCTTCAAAACGTAAACATTTTTCATAGTGACATTCAACTGTTTGTAAGAGTTAGTGGAATGGTACTCCTTGGTACTCCTTGGAAAGCCAGGGGCAATGCTTTATCCTAAATGACTTTTTAGGTATCACTGATCTCACTGTCATTTAACTTTTCTTTTTTTTTTTTTTCCAAAGAGAACAAGATATGCATCTCTCTAATATTCAAATTTGTTTATCATAAAGTTTATGTTATTTTTTTAAATGGTACCTACCAATTTTAGTATGTTTCAATGGAGTTCTTTTTTAAAGCAAGTTCACAACATTCTTTACACGTGCTCAAAAATTAGCTCTAATCTAAAGTTCAGTGTCAACAAAATCAATACCTAGTAGCTTTTGCAATTTGTCCATGTCTCTTTAGAGGCAGAAAATACTGTGTTCAGGGTAGAAATGGACATCATAAATTCTACGTGTAAAAAAGAAATAGTGATAATTAGAATTTCAACAACCAAAACGAAACCATTTCAGCAAGGCTAGATCAGACTGAGTCACTCTGAAGTCTCTCTGGGAGAAGAGATGCTTGCAACACCTCTCCATCACTCATATACCTTTGGCTCATTCTGGTTGCATTTCTTAAACAGGTTTCTCAGCAGAGGACCTTTAAAAACGGGGTAGTGATTCTTATAAGGGGCTTTTCACCTTGTTTCTCCTCTGATACAGCTTGTTCTGAGCTCCAAGGCAGCCTATATCTCTCCAGTTGCACCATGATCCAGCCAGCCCAGAATACCCAGTTTTCTTCTGCTTGTGAGCAACTGAGTTGGAAAGAAAAATGCCAGAAAAGCTCTGCTTAAAAATGTCCAGGTCCTGCCAAAAGAAACTGGCACATTATCATTCCAATAGTCGCCTTGCACTAGGCAAGGCAGGAGTCACTGCATCTCTGCAGTTAAATAGCTCCAGCCTTGAAATTGCTTTTGAAAACAAGTGATACCAACTTCTTCCTCTGAGCATGGACTGGTGATGCCCCCTTGACTCTTCACCAACTTCTTCCTCTGAGCATGGACTGGTGTAGTGAGTCCCATGTAGTGAGTCATGATCCTCATAGTTCAACTCATGTCCAAAACTGAAATGAATCATGCTTATTATTTTTAGAGCTAGCCACGGGCACTGACATGTGCGAGTATATTCAACTAGGATGTTTTGAGGATTAAAGCACCCTCCTAATCTGAACTGGGAAGAATGAACTGTTTTATTAGCTGATCTGACCTTTGCTTATATTAGAGTCAAACTTATGACTTTAGTGATAACTCATGTTTTATTGCCTTTTATTCCTGTTACTACTATAAACCCTGAAAAGTGCAATCTGGATTTTATTTCTTTTCTATATCACCAGGGGAATTGTATACTGAGTTCCCAAACATTTATGCTTTGCAAATTCACTCAAAGGAAAAATGTCACTCAGGGTCCAGGCTGAAAAAAACACCATGTCCTATTTTATTTGGTGGAACCTTTGTCTATCATGATGGTCTGGGACATCTGCCGGGGTCGATGGCTGTCAGTGAGAAAGTTAACAACTCCTTTTCTTGGAAACTGAGCCTAAAATTTCATATGGGTATTGTGAGTGACAGAAGACACAGGGCTCTGCCACCCTGCGTGCAGGGGGACTTTTCATTTTTAG